AATTCAAGAAGCCTAATTTAATTAGCACCCTGCCACTGTGTCGGCTGCTGTGCCGCTTTGGATCTCTGGCCCAGGGAGAAATGTGCAACCCCTGCTCTTTTTATTTCTATTTAGCCTCATAAAAGGTAGGGTGTCCAAGGAGAAAGAGAGGAACTTTGCCTCTCCATCATGTTTTGCATACAATGCTAATTGAGCTGACAGTCTTGGACCATAGTCTGTTATTGCTGCAGCTGAGTTTTGAGCTGATACCCGATGAAGGGATTGCAAATGTCAAATGGCTCATCTTTGCCCATATGTCTCTTGGAATATGGAAGGGAAATGATCAGGGGGAGCTCTTCAGTCTGCATGCTTGAGTAACTGCAAGCAGTACAAAACTAGGAAGAAATAAGGTATTCAAATCCTTCTGGTAAAGCCTACACCATCTCTCCTTGCTTTCCCCACCCAGAGTGCTAATGAGGAAAGAAGAATGTGAAACTCCTTGGCTTCCCTAATTGCTGTGCTTTGCCCTCATAACTTTTTTTGTTTCTGCTTATCACAGTGAGAGTCTTGTTTCTGTCAATCATTTCTGGTTCCTTCTGCCTAGAAAATAACAATGCATGCTTTTTGAGCCTTGAGATTATTCCAAGCCCCTTCTCTTTCATAATTATAACAGAGAAAATAATTATTTTTTTGGATTTACTTTATAATAATGAACCATAGCAATCAAGAAAGGTTTGTTTTATTGGTTTCTGAAAATTCTATGTTAGTTCCCAAATTTTCCTCAGGACTATAGAACTGCAGATATGTTTGCTTTTACAATTCTGAATTGTGAACATGTGCTATGTTTTTAACTTTTCCTCCATCACAGTGGAGGCAATATTGTGTAGTAAGCAAATCGCGAATAGTAGTGCAAGACAAAATTAGCTTTGAAATCTGGCTTTATTTTTTTCTGGCTTGGATTTGTTATTCTGCATCTCCAGGCATGAATTTGCCACTAAACGAACAAATTTAAAGAATTCCTCCTTTACAAGACTATGTAGAAAATTAAGTCAAATAATACATTTTAAATAATCAAAAACTCTCCCTACCATGCAGCAGGCCCTCAATAAATGAGTTTTCTACTTTTTACTAAGCATCCCTCTCATGTGGGAGAATTATTTCTGGTTCTTCCATTTAGCTGAAGGAATTTGATTTCCCTTCTGATTTTATTTCAGGTATAAAATCAGACATTGCTACCTAAGGTCTGCTAGATCTTGGCTCAGTCTGCCTCAGAGATGTAAGCTGGGCAGCTTGCTGCTTGTGAAGATGGAGTTTTTAGAGATACTGATAGTTGTTTTTACAAAAGAAAGAAAATTTCCACTTTTCTCATGCTCCCCTTTTACAGTACAGCTCTTTAGATGCATGTTGATATAACAGTAACAACAAACAGTACTATCTGCTATTATGCTGCAGCTATTACATTATAAACTTAATATCATTTAAAATCTTCATAGCAGCTCTACATGGTAAATTGTATTATCATTATCTTACAGATAATAAATTGTAGCTTAGAGAGGTTAAATGACTTGTCAAAGGTAACACAACTACAATGAAAGGTTGAAATGGTTCCATAACCAATGCTTATGGTTTAAGAGACAAGGAAGGAAGAGAGGAGAGGGAGGAAAGAGGAAAGGAGAAAGAAGATTAAAGAAAGAGAGAAATCATACCCTTCATTTTAGATGGATTGTTTAGCATTAACCTTTTATTCTACCATAAGCACCCAATTTTTTCTGTTTCCTAAGGAAATGTCAGCTTTAGAAATAATTTAAACTAAATAATCATGCTCTTGGAATAACTCTCTCCTGGTGCTGCTGTAATTTGGCTTACAATTATAGTTAATTGAACATCTTTGGAGTTAGTGCAGTGCTGCATGTACGTGGGAAAAAATTTAATGTGCTAAGCATGCAGCAACATGATCTTAGAAGTTCATTTTTACCAGCAGAAAAAGAAAGCAATCAGTAAAACATATTTTCAGTAAGGAGGCTTGGGGAGGAAAAAAAAGAGAACCCCTAAAACCCAAAACTAAAAAATCCCATCATCTCAAGACAAGCCCTAAGATGATCCCTGAGCCCCACCGAAGGTGTAGTAATGGAAATGGTTTAGTGAGCTACAGGTTGGCATCTGTGAAAAGGTTCCCCTTCTCAGGAATCAAGACACATTAGTCTCATTATTTGCAGATACTTGACAAGACAAGAGCCAGAGGCAAGCAGCAGCAGAAGGAAATGCAGTGTGGAGTGAGGAGGTGACTAATTAGAGGAAACAAAGAAAGGGAGCTTGACAAATCTGTTCTAGAAAACCCCCTTTCTAAAAAAGAAGCATTTCAGAAGCAAACAGTCCTCCCTCTGCATAGGATCCCTTCCACTGGGAACTGGCTAGAGGACTCCTGGTTCACCCTGGAACTGTCCATGGTCCTGATTACATACATGTTTGGCACAGCATTGCATAAGCTGTGATTCTTTTAGTTTAAACCATCTCCATTTTGCCACCCCTACCTCGGCTTCTAAGGTATTCCTTTTTTAATTCAGCTCATTAAAGGATTAAGCCCCAAACTGGCTTAGGCTAGGCACTGGCTCATTCCCTAGAGTAGCCAGAGCAAAGCAACAGAAGGGGAGTTATGGAGACAGGTGTTCTTTAACCAGCTTCCGTTTCTCCTTCTGTGTCTTTGCCAGAGGGTTTAGGCCTGAGCAGTCACCTCAGGTTCCTTGGCTCTGCTTATTATAAAGCCCTATGGGAACCTGCTTGGTGGGATACAGTACCTGTGACTCCGGAATAATTGGGTAGGGAAATGAAAAGGCTGGAGGCTTAAAAGGGATAAATCTAGTTGGAAGTATGAAGGTTTTAATTTCTATCTCTGGGCCCGCACTGGGCTATCCACAAGCTAATCAGAGCATGTGGGGACTGGCAACTTTGAAACTGAAGGTCATAAGAAGAGGCTCAAAGGAATTTTAGAGGTGGAGTTGCTGTTCTCTTGATAGAAATTGCTCTCTACACACAAAATTTCTAATTGGCAGGAGGAAAGGAGAGAAGAGCTTACACGATATCCAAGGAGCAATCAGCATTTCAACTTCCCAATTCCTTTGTATTCCACTGACTTCAGGAGGAGAAGAATGAAGATATGCCTAAATGCAGCTGATCAGAGGCAGACTCTATATACCTCTATGTCCTCTTTGGCTTTAGAACAGAGGTTCTCAACCAGGGGAAATTTCATCCTTGAGGACACATTTAGAAATGTCTGAAGACATATTTGATTGTCATAATTTGCAGAGGAATATATTAGTTCAGATTTTCTGAAGGAACACAGCCAATAGTAGATAGATAGATAGATAGATAGATAGATAGATAGATAGATAGATAGATAGATAAGATGGAGAGTTGTACCTTAGTATCCAGGGGGATTGGTTCAAGAATTTCTGTGTATACCCATACATAGTGGCATAGTGATAGGTATGGTGGCACATGCCCATAATCCCAGAAACTCAGGAGGCTGAGGCAGGAGAATCATGAGTTCAAAGCCAGCCTCAGCAAAAGTGAGGTGCTAAGCAACTCAGCAGGACCCTGTCTCTAAATAAAATACAAAATAGGGCTGGAGATGAAGCTCAGTGGTCAAATGCCCCTGAGTTCAATCTCTGGTACCTCCCTCACTAAAATGGCATAGTACTTATCTATAACCTATGCATATTCTTTGGTATACTTCACGTTATCTCTAGATAATATCTAATCTGATATAAATTCTATGCAAATAGTTGTTATGCTCTATCTTTTAAGGAATAATAATAAAGAGTGTGCACCTCTTTAGCACAGATGTAATTTTTTTCAAGTATTTTTTATCTATAGTTGGTCAAATTCTCCATTGTGGAACCCATGGACACAGGGTCAACTCTATATATGTATACATGTATGTGTATATATGTGTATATTCGAATGTACATATATATGTATGTATGTACACGAATGTGTGTATATGTCTTATATGGTATTAGCTCCTATAATCATGGTGGCTGAGAAATCTCATGATCTTCTGTCTGCAGGCAGGAAATCCTGCACAGTTTGTTGGTATAGTTCAAAGATCTAAGAGTTAAAAAGTCAGTGACATAGATTCCAGTCTGGATCTAAAGGTCTGAGAACCAGGAGTGCAGAAGAGCAGGAAAATATTGATGTTCCAATTCAAGAAGTCAATCAGACAGTAAGGGAATCCTACTTTCTTCCCCAATATAGGTCCTCAGTGGATTGGATGATGCCAACTCACACCGGGCAGGGAAGTTCACCTTATTCAGTGTACCAGTTCAAATGCTATTCTCTCCTGGGAACATCTTCATGGACATATGTGGAATTATGTTTAACCAGGTATCTTGGGCATACCACAATCTAGTCAAGTTGACACATAAAATTATCTATCACAGGACGTGGTATTGGCCAGGAAGCTGTTAAACATCCTACAGTGCCCAGATCAGCTCTCAACAACAAAGAATTATCCTGTCCAAAATGTCACTAAGGCCAAGGTCAAGAAGCCTTGACTTAGAGGAGGCCAAATCTTCCTTTTCTAATTTTATTTATCTTGTTGAGGTCAGTAATTATCACTAAATTTTCATATTTCCCTGCTTTTTCTTTTTAACCAAGTCTGTCTTTCAGTGGCAAAACTCTTTCATCAGGTGGAAGCACTTCTGTCTTTCTGGCTGGAACCTTTCTTAAAGATAGCAGGCACTTTAGGTCTGTGCCAGATTCTGTTATAAATGGGAGCTTTGCATCAGTTGGCTGATATCATAACTGGGCAGATAGCATTTTGAGCACCTTAGTACTGACAGCAACAGGTTGCCTGCGTAGAGCATAGAACACTTGGTATGACATGAAAAGGGGGGGTAAACAACTAAGTACCCTGTTTTGGGAAGCTCTTTGATGTGAAGGTCATTATTGCTCTTTACTAATATGTCTGAAAGAAGACATACTCAGTGGAAGTATTGTTGTAATAAAAATACACATCTGAATCAATTTTCTACACCACCAAAGAATCTTTAATCGTGGAGCTCAACACCAGAAGTAACATAGTGAGATAAGAAAATGACCAATATTCTAAGAAATCAAACCCAGGTCTCTCAAACACAAGTGTACATAACTCTGTCTAGGAAAAAATAATAATTATTAAGTGCCCACCACAGACTGAGGCCCCATTTCCAAGTTATAAAGTAAACTGTGTTTTTTTTTTACTTACAAAGTGAAAAACAATCCTTGATATATATTCTGTCTTGGTTCTTTTACATCTCCTTCTTTAACCACAAACCCAAAAACCAACTCATGAAGAGGGATGAAGTAGGACCAGTATAAACAGGCCAATTTAAGGAGACCTTAGAGAGTAAAGTAGTATAATTGGGAGCAAGCCTGCCATGATTGGACTCATTGCTGTCAGTGTGGGGGAAAACTCCTCTTAGGTATATGCCAAATGCTGTCAGCTGCTGTCCTCAAAGCTGCCACTGTTCCGGCAAGAATGAAAATGCATTGGGCTCATGGGATCCGACACGTAGCCTGCATCAGAAAAGAAGTTCAGTTATTACTTATTGACCTTCCAGTACTCTCCACATTTTTTAGCCTGACTCAATGCAACACACAGCAGTCAGGCAGCTTTCCTGGATCTGGTGAACAGAGTCTGGACCAGAGATGCTGCTGAGCAGCTATAAAACAATATTGAAACTTACAATGAAAACAGCAGATAAACATGACTGATAGATGTCTGATCTGGAGCTATGCTGTCTAGGTGACATTTGGGATTTGAAGTATAACAGGGGACAGATCAGGAAGGTGGTATATCTTGAAGCTATAAGAACAGGCTCTTATGTCAGGCAAATCTGTAGGCTCTGTGACTTTTGTTAACTTATTCTTTCCCAGCCTCAGTGTCTTCATCTGTAAATGGGAGAAATGATAGCACTGACTTATAAATTGTCAATGTGCATTAGACAATCATCAGTCTGACATCAATGGGTGCCAGACCAATATTGGTCCCCAAAAGGAGGTGGGAATAGCAGTTAGAAAAAAAGAAAAGACACTTTCTCTGCAGCAGGGTGGCTCTATTTTATTTATGTATGCATTTAATTTTTTTCTTGACAGCTTGAGTTTCAAATGTACTCAATGCCTAGGTCTAAATACCAGTGGCAAATGATGACTTCAAGCAATATCCATGGGTCTGTCAAAAAAATTGGCTTAGTGGCGTAACTTTATGTCACTATCTAAGAGAACAGAGAGGTGTGTGCCAGGAAGCTGCTGTCTTTCTGTTCTTAAGTAAGGAAACCATTCACTGATTCTGTGAAAATGGGCACATTCATTAGTAGTCACTATTGCTTTTGTCCCCTTTGATAGCTGAGGTTTCAGTAGCAACCCAGCCATCTACATTTTTATGAAGCCACCTAGCAACATGCAGTTGGATATGCATATTTATTTTCATAAGAGAGGTCTCTGTCAAAATCCCTTAGGCAGCACATAAACTCTCCTCAGAGGAAGTGTGGCTGCTGCTGATGCTTCGTTGACTCTCTCACTCACCTCTTGTGGGATAGGTCTGGTCAGATATGAGGAAGGTCATGGTGGGGCATGATGAGATGAGGGCAAGCTGATGTACATCACTGAATTTTAACTCTAGGTGGGCTAAAACCAAATCTATATCACGGAGCACAAATATTGCCTCTCATCTGGGCTGAAAATGTGACTTCATTCCATGCATGGATTGATGCTTTAATAAGCTAGTAATCCTTTTATTACTGTAATCAACCTTCAATGTGACACATGTAGTTTTACTGGCCCGTGATGTTTCAGTGTCTCCTGCCCCACAGGAATCCAATGAAAATATGATTGTGAACATACATCCCAACAGTGTGGGCAGGCGCTCCTTCAGGATTGGTAACAAAATCAGTAGGCATGGAGGCTGGCATTTATTATCGAAGCCACTATTGCCAGAGAGTAAAGGCAAACATATTGGCCTAAGACGTCACTTGGCTTAAGAGGGGGTGCAACTAGACCAAGGGCTTTAGGAAAAGACTGAAACATCTCCACATGAAATAGTTGTGCCATTTAATTTGACCTTAATTCTCTTAGCTCTGAGAGAGGGCCGGGGAGAGAAAGGAAGAAACATCTCATGAAGTTGTTGTTGTACTACACTTCGTATATGAAATGAAAATGAAGGAAAACGAAAGGGTTCTTTCTTGTATTTTGTAGTATTTCTAGTGAGAGATATTGAATATATCTTCTTTGTCTATAGGTACCCTCACCCTGATCAACTATTCTAATGGTTTTTTTTTTCTTACCCCTGGTACATATATGAATAGAAAAAAAAACAAGTTTCACATTATTAAGTCCTTTGTCTTTTCCAGCTTGGGAATTGTTATACTTCTGTCTCTTTAAGAAGCGGATCTCTAAGTTCTCTAAGTTAAAGAGGTGCTTCATCTTGAAACTCGACCATAAAAGGAAAGACTTCTGGTCAAAGCACACAAAGAATGCCCTGTATTTAGTGGTTGGGGAGTCACATCTGTGAGGCTTGAGGAAATGACATTATAGCTATTAAGAAATGCAATGTAGTGACATTTGGAGCACATTTTTCCCTCAAAAAGATCTTTTGCTGGACTGGCCAATTATATTGTGAAGTGGATGATTAAAAAGCACTCAGTTGCTGAAATCCCAGCTACTCAGGAGACAGGAGAATTACAAGTTCTAAGCCCGCCTGGGCAACTCAGCAAGACCTAGTCTCAAAATGAAAATTTAAAATTCAAATAAAAGGTAGGGAATGTATTTCAGTGGTATAGCATCCTTGAGTTCAATCTACAGTATCTCAATAAAAATATATAAATAAATAAACACTTTATTATTATTTTTTTTAAAGAAAAGCACTCAGCTACATTCTATACATGTATTGGGAGTGAGAAGCACATTCTCTTCCTTTATCTACCCAGGTAGTGTGTCTGCATCTATCTAAAACAAATTTTCTCCTTTGTTTCTTAAATGCTTTCTGATACCTCAGGTCCTGACACTGCAGTTGAGGTGTGTTGGTGAAGATTCCAAAGCCCATATCTGCCATCTCTGTCAGAGAAGCAGGCTCACATCACCCAATGTATTCTTTCTCATACACAACTCTTGTCTTAATCTGATCTCTTTAGCTGACATTTTATGCAGTTCTTCATGTAGTCAAAGTGAGTTGCCATAAATAAAGGAACCCATTGTGCCAAAATTCCTACAGCCTCTCAGGCATTAAGGTTGAAGAAAGGACATCACAGGCCTCATGCATTAATATGGCAGCTGATGATAAGGGAGACTGTGCGTACTCTGGCTTCCAGAAGCCTGCACAGAACTTTATTAATTATTTCTGAGACCTGTGTTAATCCATTCTGCAGTAGACCTGTGTGAAATGGAGCCCATTGGCTCTCCCAGCCTTCTCTGCAGCTCTTTGAGGGAATGGCTAGATTTACCAGTCACCAGGGGATGGCTGGTTGGTGGAAGGAGCTTTCCTGGGATACAATGTAATTATGAAAACTCATCCTTGGTTTTTCTTCTCCTTCCTACATAGCCTATGGATGACATGGGGCTTTGAGGCCACAGACCTGATAACATGATGATGGAGTGTTTGAAATGCCTTGAGAGGTCAGAGGTTAATTTTATTTTAAAGATGTGTATTATTATTAAGCTTAAAGGTAAACTGCAGAATTATAAAAGTCTTAAAGATCAGAGTTAGAATTTTATAAGATTTTAAAATATCTTTCATTTCTGGATATTACAAAATACTATGTTTTCTCACTTGTCATGAAGGAGTAGATGCCATTGTCCTAGGGGTGGTTTTCTCATGAGCCTAGAGGGTCTGTCCACTTACCGTACTTGTCAATGGGTGAGTACTGCAAACTTCTTTTCACCTCCTCCAAAGACAGGCCTTGAGAGGAGCCTGGTCCAGCACTGGAAAATTAGAGAAAGAGCTTCATGCTATGCTGACTTGCTAAAAAATTTTCCACTAAACAGAATTTATTCATTTAGCCTAGATCCCAGAGAAATGACCAAGTGGTACAGCAGTGTTTTTATCTTATAAGTGTTGGGAAGGAGTTCAGAATTATTTGGTGTAATTCATATCCAGGTGTGAGTCTTGTCTTCCACATAGGTTACAATTCCTGGCAGTCTAACCTTGGTCTTGTCACCCTTGCTGATCCCCAGTTTATTTAGTTGTACAATGGAAAAGAAAGTATAATTTCCAGCTTGTCTTACTGATTCAATAAAAATAAAAAGGAATGTTGGATCTAAATCTGGGTTCATATGCTTACAATATTTACTTAAGTGGATCTAAGAGCAAGAACATTATCCTCTCAATAATAATTAACATAAATGAAATACATTCCATGAAGTATTATCATTATTATATTGTTATTATTATAATGACAATTATGATATAGTGATAATATTTACTACAAGATTCCTGTTGTGAAGCATTTATATAGAATCCTCTCATTTAATCCTTATCACTATATCAATTTACACATAAGAAAACAATGGAAAAAAAGAAAACAATGGAAACTGAAATAATTAAGTATATGGTTACAAGGATCTAGTAAATGGCTCATCAAGGAGTCAAAGCCAAGACTTTTCAATTGTAAAGTCTATATATTTATTCATTATTTGAATATGTATTTCCTCCTGCTCTACATTGATCCTTCTCTTTTCTAAGTCTTCCTACTCTTTTATCAATTTATTATTAGAGTCACTTGCTTTCTAGTTCATCAGGCTCAAAATCTAAAGTAGTAAAAACCCTCACCCTAATATCTACTCACATCAATCAGCTCATTTCATATCTGTAGTTTCTCTCGAAGCCCATCATCCTTTGCCATCTTCAAAGTGGCTTCCCCTTTTGCCCCCAGACCTGCCCTCATTATGTCCATAGAAGAACTCATATCCCCAACATCCAAGCCAGTTCTCTCCATTTCAGTTACTAGCACTACATCATGCAGTCACTTAAGCAAAAATTCTTGGACTCATCCTTTGTGCCTTCATTTTTCTCATATCTTTTACTCAAGTCCTTGTAGCTCTGACTCCAAAACAATCTAATTTATTCACCTTGTTCTTCCTTGAAGTTCTGGGCCACATCATTTCTTTCTTGTCTAGAACTCTGCAATTTGTCTCCTAATAGTTCTCTTTGCTTTCACTTTTTTTTTCATAACTTATAATATTTTCCAGAGTGATCTTTTCAAAATACAAAATGGGTTAAGCCATTACCTACTTAAAACTTGGCTTCCACTTCATTTGGAATAAAATGCAAACGCTTTTTGCCCCCACTACAAGGTCCTGACCCTGCCAACCTCTCCAACCTCAACTTGTGCCCTTCTCCCTATTTTTTATTTTTTTACTAAGCACTTCTTTCTGGAATCCTCTCTGTCCCTGGAGCCCTTCAAGTTTTTTCCCAACTCAGAGCCTTTGCATTTGTTAAATCTGCCTGGAACGTTTTTTTAATGAACCCCAATGCTATTCTGCTGAACCCTTGACCTGCCTTCACACACTACTGACTCTTCTGTCATTCAGGCCTCAATTCAAATGACACTTTCTCAGTGAGCCTTCCCTGACTACTGTTCCAAAGTGGCCACTCCTCTGCCCATGGTTACTCTATATCACATTATATTATTTTCCTCTTTTCCTTTTATAGCTATATAAATTATCTTGCTCATTTATCTGTTTACTTACCCATTCTTTATATTTTTCTACACAAGTAGGGCCTAATTCTCTTATTTTCTTCTATACTTTGAACACTGAGAACAGTGCTTGACATACAGGGAAGCACAACAAATAGTTTCCAAGGAATTGATTAGTTAATAGATTCCTAATGTCGTGCATCCCTCCAATCAATCAGTCCTCCCCTCTACAAAGTATTACTGCAGTTCCTCAGGCCAATGTTCCAAACTCTCTGCCATCCACTTCTCCTTGTGTTCTTCATGTATCTTGTATTCTATAATTCCTCAATACCCACCCCTACCAAGTTCAAGCCATGCTAATCAACTTCAAATTTTCTAAACATTCCTAATGTTCTCTTCACCATTACTATGGTTAAGATGCTCCCCCTGCTTAAATGTGCTTGTTGACATTTTGTTTATCCATGTCAGGAAGTAACATCATGTAATAATTAAGAATGAGCATTCTTGTTATAATTTGAATTTGCATCCTGAGCCCATCATTTATTAATCTATGGCCTTTGAAGAGTTATTAACTGTTTTATGCCTCAGTTATGCAACTCTAAAGTGGGAATTGTGATATGATTTAGCTAGTAAGGTTAATCATGTGAATTAAAAGTCAGTACATTTAAAGCACTGAACAGTTTTGACATTTAGTAAATACTTAACAAATACTACCTGCATGTACGATTCTTCAAGATCTAACTCACACTCAGCATATTCATATTCTTTGAAGGCCTGTTGAAAACAGCCAGGATCAACCTTGTTCTCTTCCTTGCATCTCCAGAACTTTGAGCTCCTATCACAGTGCTAATCTGACTCTGCCTAGGTATAGAAAGATCTGCATTTGTATGCTAGTGACACCCACTCAGGGAGATCAGAGCTCCTAGCTAACATCTTTGGACCCTATCAGGTTTACTCAGTATTTGGTAAATAGCTAAGAGAAAAGTATGTTCAATTAAATAAAATTAAGTTATGCTAAAATGTTCGTTTAGAGAAGTCAAACTTTTTTGAAACTTAATATCAGTTCACACTGATTAATTCACTGAGCTTAAAAATGACTGCATCTTTGCCCTCACTTTCTTAAGCTATAAAGAATGTTATTTCTTAGAGGAAGGTAATGAATAAAAATAAGAAAAAGTATTGGCTTAAAGTATGACACAGTGTGATCTCAATAAACATTTAATAGGAAATCATATGAGTTCTGGGCAATAAAATGTTAATATATGTTTTCAAAATAAAAATTTCCCTATTAATATATCTAACCTCTTTAACACTCAAGCTCCTCTTAAGAAATGTGCTATATGCAGTAGTCTTGGCAACAAGAAGATAAAAGAGGAATAAATATTTTATCACCAAAATGGCTATCTGCTTTCCTATGAATAAAAGCCCATCTCTGTGATGCATTGTTTGTTCAGCTACTGAATGTGATTCACTCCAGAAGACTTAATCTTCCTGCCCAAGAGATGCCACATAGGCTGGCACGGAATGCTGTTCTAGGATGACAGGCAGATGGAAGCTGAGCATACCCAGGTCAAACAAAACAGAAGAAACCAGACCCTGGTGAATGGAACTAGTTGGAAGCTGAGCATGCCCAGGTCAAACAAAATAGAAGAAACCAGACCCTGGTCAATGGAACTAGGTGTTCTCAACCCATCCAGGCTTCATCCAGGAGCCCAGAGTTGAAGAGAGATGGCAGGACCTCTGTTTCCTAAAGCTGTGGAGAGTGAAAATAAGGCAGTTCCAGTAATGCAGTTGCCCTGGGATTCTAAGAAAGTAAATGTGAACTAATGGCAGGTAAGGAACATGCTCAACTTTTCAGTTTTCAACATTGCTTGTCAACTACATTGCTTTCTTTATTCTAACAGGATGATGTGTACCACAGATAGGCACATATGCAAATGACATATAATTCTTTATGGGTGAGTGCATATTTTGCATGTATGGAATGAAATTATCTCTTATAAGAAGCAAAGAAGTCTTTACATTGGGTTTTTGAATACTGCTACATTATGTTGACATATTTTAGTACTGGAAAGTTTTGTGCTTTAGGCTTAACAATTTAGATTAATTCTGCAATGTATATGTAGAGATAAATATAATCACCAACCATTGTCTATTATAAAAGTGTACTAGGAAAGGAACAATTTATCTAAAATGAAGAGCAGAAAACAAAATTTTCAAAAATATTTCCTGTCTGATTCCATGTTTTAGGGACATAGATGTCCTAGTAGACTGGGTGCTAACTAGGTCAGTTCACACCCAAATCCACATGTAACCTGGAGTTCTGTGTAAGCATTCCATTAGGCTATGGCTTATGAGAGACACTGGCCTGCTTAAAAATGTTCACACTGTCTGTGAATGGAGTCACCGACCTTGGGCAAAGATAGCAACCAAGATGTTCGAAGCTAATGAAAATATGAGACCATGTTGGCTAAAATTAATGCAGATATAATGAAACTCATGAAAAGTGCATTAAGTAAAAAAATGCATCCATTAAGAAATAAGTAAGTATATACATAAGATTACAAAAGAACTATGAAGAATGAGAAGAGTACTAGAATACAGAGCATAGGCAAATAGAGCCTACAAACTAAGCCAGTGATTGGATGCACATTGTAGGCAAAGTTCCAAGGAAGAATGATTAAAACAGAGGTTTTCTGTGCTCTTTGAAAAAGTACTGATTATTAGAAACTAACACTAAAAAAGAGAAGATGATGTGGATCTGCTTTATTTATTTTTGGTGAAGATAAAGGTAAAGGGCAAATCTGTAGGCTAGAAGGCACATCTGGATTCTATCAGGGCACCAGACAGTCTCTTGACTGCTTTGTGAGTGAGAGGTGGTCTGTGCCAGATGACAAGAGGTTAGACTGAGTTTGTACCATCTGAATATCCAGAGAAGACTTGAGGTCTGTGTCAGCATATATAGGTGACTATCTACAGGGTTTGGTTGAGCCTTGGACATAGGGAAGAATTAAAATAAATCACTACTTTTCTTAAGGTGAAGAATGACTAAAAAGAGATTGAGTTCTTCCAGAAAGAGGCTGTTTCCCACCCCTGGAAGTGTTTTATGTCAAGAGTGAAGCATCTGTTGGCCTTAGGTTCAGTAGAGCCATCTAAGCAACCATCTGAAAGTCCCATGATGTGATGTCCCAGGTCCCACTATTTCTTGTATTCTATGATTCTTTAGAAGGCATTTGTGAGCTGTAGACTTTGAGAACTGGCTTTGGCATGGAAAGGTTGAGTGAG